ACCGGGTGCAAGTCTTAGGTCCACCATGCCTGTTGCTTGCGTCGTGGGGCTTTAGACCTACAGTTGGCCAAGGTCGTTGAAGGAACTCGACCACCATATCTCCAAGCTGGATACGGAGTACGACTCCTGCAATGACATTTGGTCTGATGGTGGATTGGATGGCTTTGGCGAAGCGTTTCTCACTGAACATTGTATTGGTTTCATGATGCATGTGTGCATTTGGCGTTCCAATCAATCCCATTTCAAAGTGAACGCCCAGGTTTTGGAAAAGGGCTGAGCCCAAAATGCGCAGTTCCACAGCCGTGTGCTAAACTCATTTGCCAAAACCAATCTCCACAGATCTTCCCATCCCCGTTGCCTTCAGGTGCAGCAAGGCAGCTGCCCTCGAAGCAAAGATCCGGCCTGGTTCTCAGCAAACAAAACCTTGAGGATTGAAGTCTGAAGCTGACATATTTCCACCTGTAGTTCTACCTCATGCTCTAGATCGGCCCTGCAGGCAAAGCAAAAAGTTCTTCAAGAAGAAGTCTGAGAGTGAGCCAGGGTCAGGCAGTGTTGAGGACCCCTCCAAAAAACGGAAGGATGCTTCATCTGCCGCAGCCAAAGCCAAAAGCAAAACGAATAAGAAGACTAAGAAGTGAATTTCTTTTTGGGGGGCTGGAGAGTCTTGGGTTTCAAACACCTTTAGAGGCTGTGGGAAAACCTACAGCAATGGGTGTTGATATGCACAATTCGTCAGGTCCAGGCCACGTCTTGAAAGGCAGAGTTGAAGAGTGTTCTGTCCAAAGCCATGCTTGTTAGCTTGATGTTTTGATGGCCTGATGCCTCTCTCTAGTATACGTGTACACTTTAGAGTTCGTCAGCGTGGTTTGGCCACCGTCGCCCTAGGGATTGTAGATTCTGTCGATGAGCGACTTGAGGAAAACAACATCAAGTGTTTCACACTGGCACCCTTTGCTGCATGTGCTGCAAGTTTGTTTCGCTTACTTGCCAGGTGGAACGCCTGGTCAAATACTGCGTGGCTTTGCGGGCGCTATAGGTTCAGGTGTGCCATGCTTAGCCAGTGTTTTCTTGACAATGTTTCTTTTGTGCCTCTTAAGTTCCCTCCGTCAATGAGCGAAATTAGATTCAATGGCGCCGAGGCTCCATGCAACCAAGCAGTGAGCACTGCCAAGAACATTGTGAGCGACATCGGGGTCAAGGCCTCGTTGAGGTCACCAGGCCTCCTCAATCTGGCGTCTTCAAGTGACCGGAATGCTGAGAGGGATGCTCACCGACAGTTCAGCAAGTACAAGCTTCGATTACCGATCGACTTGTCAAAAGTCAATGGAGAAGTTGAAGGAAAGAAGTCCTTTCAGGCGTTGCGTTTGAGGGACTGGCTAGAGTTCATCCTTCAGAGGAACCTATGGCACGTTTTGACGGGCTTGGCACAGCCAGATCCAAAGCGCTGTGAGCAAATTTGGGCAAGTTTTTGGGAAAGGTACCGTCAATATGACCCACTACATCCAGCTTTCCAACTGGAAGCCGAGGGGAAGATTTCTTTGGCTAGGACTTGTGCAATTGCCTTCCATGGGGACGAGGGTCGCACAAGGAAGAAAAGCCAGTTCTTCGTTTGCTCATGGCGGAGCCTGCTAGGCAAAGGTCTGCAGGAGTGCCAGAAGAAGCGGCGGTCTTTGGGTATCAAAAATAAGTACTTGAAGATGAAGCTGAACTATCAAGGGCATGTTTTTACAACGCGCTACTTGTGTGGGGTTCTGCCGAAGAGCCAGTATGCCAAGAATGATTCTGCTGTGCGAGACCTTCTTTCCTTTGCAGCCGATGAACAAGACTTTGTTTCCCGTGAAGGTGTGACTGATACTCAAGGGACTCGGTTCAACATGATGCTCATTGGAGTTTCTGGCGATTGGCCATTTTTTGGCCAAAGCCGGCTGCCTGGAGCGCAACTTTGCATGCTACCCGAAGGTCATTGGCGCGGACACCGGTGAACCAGTTTGGTGCAGGGGTATTTGTCACCTTTGCGAAGCTGGCAAGGGTCCATACCCGTTTGAAAACCTGAGCTCCGAGACGCCCGAATGGCTGGATACAATCGGCAGGGAGAGTCCTTTCAAGGAGCTTCCACCATTCTCCAAAAATTTGCACACAGAAGGTGAGTTGGAAAAACTCTACAGATTTGACCCATGGCACAACTTTCATTTGGGAGCTGGGAAGCTGTTTATGGGAAACGCTCTTGCCATAGCATCAACCTACTTCGATGGTAGTGGAATAGATACACGGTTTGAACATCTCAACGACCACATTCAAGCCTGGGCAAAGGCAAACTCTGAGTACTTGCATGTCTCCGCTTTCACAAAGGAGGGCATCAATTGGGACACCACCAAGGACTATCCAAATGGTGGGTGGGGCAAGGGAGCTACAACAGCTGTGCTGCTTAAGTGGTTCATCGCTTGGTCGCAAACAGTTGAGTCAGAGGATGAGCTTTTCCTCGTCACTCGGCAGGCTGCTATATGTGCGAACGAGAGTTTTGCTTTAATGTACAGTGTGGATGACGTATGGCTTGAAGCCAGCGTGGCGGCGCGTGCTGGAAAGCTTGGGATGGATTTCCTGAAGCTGTATTGCAGAGCAGCCAGGATTGCCTATTCCCGCAGCCAGTGCCTGTTTGTTCTTGTTCCAAAGTTTCATTGTTTGCATCACCTTTTCCTCACAGATTTGTTGATGGAATCTCGCAAGAGTCCATGGGTCCTACACCCTTTGAACTGGGGAACCCAGATGGATGAAGACAACATCGGCAGAACGAGCCGAATCAGTAGGCGTGTACATCCCACTACGGTGGTGTCCCGTGTTCTTTTGCGCTTTCTTACGAAAGCGCGGCAGGAGTATGTCAAAGCAGGTTACTTGCAGCGTTGAGCTGCACGCTGGGGGAAAAGTTTGCGTTTTGTCTCAGCTCTGAGCGTTTCTGAGTGCCTGGCTGTCATACCAGTACTGTCCATCTCCGTGGGGTTGAGCCCAAGTGGCCCAACGGAAGCAGCCAACACTTTCACTCAAAACCATCCCAAATCAAAAACCCGTCTTTCTTTTCAATAACTCGTTTATTTTTGAAGGATGTCTTTTTTCTGCGAACTGAGAGGGTACTGGTATATTGTAGACTGAAGACT